ACTCCAGATACAGCTCTGGGTCGGAAGCAGGTGATACCGAAGCTATTGAGTGACATCTCATAACCGTCACATTCTGCTCGTTCGCCGCAATGTGGGCAAAAGATGGACTCAAGTTGGGTTCTCTGACCTGAACCAAGGCGATTGTACCTGCAGGAGTATACTCTGGCTGACCGGGATCTAGCTCCATCACAACGACTGAGGGTGGTGTTTTCCGGGTTCGAGTCTGCTGACCAGCACCCGTGAGCAGCCGGTTCCCCAGTATACGGCCAAATGTGGATTTGCCGGACGACTTGGGGCCGCAAAGCATCACGCTGAGGACAGGCTGGTCTGGTTTCGCCTTCGTCAGCCCCGCCAATTTCTTGTTCCAGGCTGGATGCGATCGCAGATCCTGGATTAAAGCTCGCTTCGGCGCGTCTTCAGAGGTACAAATCTGTCCGATATTAGTATGTGATGGATGCGAGCCGTCCAGGATCTTAACCCACAATCTTGTAGGTATCGGTCTTTGCGCCTCGTTTGCTTGCTTTACCCTCGGGCTCATGCCACAAACTTCGGAAGAGAGGCGAAAGCCGTTCAAGCTTGCGCAAACTTGCACCCTGTGGGTGAGGATGCAGTTCAAGTCTGGTCTCCTCCGAGCAGCGCAGCACGGGAATCGCATGGCAGTGAGGGGCATGAACCCATTTGATGCCGTCTGGAGGTCGAATGCTCGCCCCTGCTATGGTGATCTCACCGTCGAGGACCTTGATACCATAGCTTCCGAGCACCAGGAAACGCTTGACGTGTCAATGAAACAACTATTATCGCATACACGGAAGTGTTTACCTCGCTGTCATGGAGTCTTAGCTCTAGAATGCCTCCTGCCACCCTGCGAGAGTTGCTTTTACTCGGCCTGAACGTCGAGAACTGCTGAGGTCCAATCTTTGACGGGTTAATCTCGTCAGCATCTGCGGTAGGGCTACTGAGAAGTCATCAGATGGTGTTCGAAGGGCGAGGCGGAGAGATCATTACCTGGATTCTGTCGCTCCTGCTATTGGCGTGGATGCACTCTGCCCCGGCTTCGTTTGTGGCGTGTGCTGAATTGTTTCATCCTCGGTAGAGGCGACCCTTTTTGAGGATCGTCCTTTCGCCGGAGACCTAACTTTGGGTGCAGGCGTAGGGGTTGATGCTTGGGCATCAGGGGCCGGCTGAGGTTCGGCTTGAGGTGCTGGAGACAAGGACGGGCTCGCCGAAAGCAACTGTTGCCTCAAAGCAAATGCGCTCATTGCTATTCGGCTGTTAGCCGTTTCTTAAGTGAAGACGCTGTTTGAAAAGCATCACAAGGGGTGACAACTAACGCCTTGAGCCCTCAGATGTCTCGACCTTCCGTCGCTTTGGCGTCGCCATATTGAGTTTCTTTGGTAGCAATGGAGAAAAGTCTTCTACAGCAGTATTGATGTCAAGGAATGGCAGGAAAGTGTTGATTGTGCCTGCCGAGCAGCTACACCAAGATAGGTAACCTCAGGAAGGCACAATCCTTCCGGACTTTGCTCAAACGGTACCTTAGGTACGTCACCGTTCCTCTCGCAGTCTGAATGAAGCAGGCAGCCACCCCAGGTCGAGACTGCCTTTTCGCAAATTACCTCCTTCTTGGACCTTGCCAACGCCAGGTCAGCTTTTCTTTTTCTCTTCTTATCTCAACTCATCGCAACCTCAACTGGCCAAACTCACTCGCAGAATTTTGCTCAATTTCTACCACAGTCAAACTTGCAACATCTCATTCAATCGAGCACTGTGGGCGTCAATCCGAAATGGCAGGCGAATCCGTCGGACCCCGCGATCGCGATATGAGATTCGGAGGTGAAGCTCTCACACCGAAAAACCGCGCTGGAAAATCCTTCATGCGCATCCGGACACCCACGCCGACGCCGACGCACTTTAAGTCCCCCGGAAGCGCGGCAGGCACGCGGGTTGGCTCTCACCACGTCGCGGTTCCCGCTACCACCGCGACCCCACCTCTGGCCCGTGCGATCCCTGCAAAGATTTCTGAATCTTTGCGAGACCCTCGAAAAATTCCTGTCCCAGCCATTCCCGCCGCTTCGACGCCCTCAATTCCTTCTACGCCAGCGATTCGCCTCGCCTCCAGAAGCACCCCAGGCACGATGTCGTCACGCAAGCTTGATGGCGTTCACTCGCTGAGCGCAATTCTCGAGAAGCAAGGCCAAGAAGTCGCAAAGCCCAAGAGCAAATTCGCCCGAGGCACACAGGCAAAGAAGGCCGAAAAGTTCGACCCTCGTGCTCAGGAGTCCGATTCCGACGACAGCTCCAGCAACAGTGACAGCAGCGACGATGATGATGGTCCCGTTAACCCCGACTTCTTCGCCAAGATTAACGGTCAGATGGCGTCGAGCAAATCTGCCAGCACTCCTCTGAAGAAGGCCAAGCGCGACAAGGCCGATGAGGTTGCCGATAGCGACGTCGAACACAAGACCTCCAACGCGAAGCCCTCTGCCACCAAGAAAGCACCAGTCAGGCCCGAGAGCTCTTCCGAAGAGTCCTCAGCGGAAGAGGCGGCGGTTGACACAGACTCGTCCTCGAGTGACAGTGAGAGCGAAAGCGAGCCGACTGCGAAGAAGCCAGTGCAGAATGCCACAAAGAAGACGCCAGTTGCCAATGGCACTTCAACGACCTCTTCCAGCGATTCGGAGAGTGAATCCGAGAGCGAGGCCGAAAAGACGACCAAGCCCAAAGCCAAGCCCGCGGTCAATGGCGCGAAGGCAACCAAGCCGGCCTCGACCAGCTCGAGCGAGGCAAGTTCCAGCAGTGGTGAGGAGAGCGCAGAGGACGAGGCAGATGCAGAGGACGACTCCAGTTCCGATGAGGAGGAAGAACCCAACAAGGAGACTGCCGCTGCTGTTGCCCCCAGACGTAACAGCAAGGACCTCAACGTTCCTGGATTCGTTGGCAAGGATTTTGTTCTGAGACAGGCGCAAGGCGATGAAGATGGCAAGGATATGACCGACTTCTTCACCAAGGCCAAGCTCGAAGGCAAGCAGCTCTGGTACTTCACCGCGCCCGCTTCCATCCCCATCAACATTGTGGAGAAGCTTCAGATTCCCTTGGACAAGGCGCACAAGGGAGACGCCATTTTCAAGCACAACTCGGAGGACTACACTGTCGGCTTCGACGTGGGTGCCACTGCAGTAGAGCTTCTCATTCCCAACAAGAAGGGCAATCGCTACGAGACAGGTAAGGAGGACGAAACAAGCGCATTGGGTCAAATTGCTAACGCCACAGCTTAGCCCCCAGGAAGGTTGACAAGGTCCTGCATGTCAAGCGCGTGACCCAGTTGGTAGGTAGCGAGCCCAGTGCTCCCCGACCCGTTCAGCCAAACCTTCCCCGTCCCCAGCCGCAGGGTTTGAGAGCTCGCTTCCACCCTATTGGCGTCCCCGATAACACCCCGATGGGAAAGATCGGCTTCGACGAATCCTCCGACGAAGATGTCGAGATGACCTCAACACCTGCTCTGCCGACTCGCACCAAAAAGTCCAAGCACACATCCACTCCCGCAGCTCCGGCAGGTGATGCCATGGATATCGACGAGCCTACCCCCAAGAGCTCGAAGAAGGATAAGAAGAAGTCCAAGGTCGCTAAGGATCCTGTCGAGGACTCTCAATCTACCATTATCGAGGTTCCCAACTCGCAGCCTCTGCCCACTACCAAGGAGAAGCAGAGCAAGAAGCGACGCGATAGCATCGAGTCCATCTCGAGTGTGGGATCCAACCCAAAGCCGACTCTCGCTACTCCCAGCCAGTCCAAGAAGGCATCTAAGCGCAAGCTGCCCACAGACGAGGAATCCACCCCGGCCCAGGTATCCAAGGAGAAGGCCAAGAAGGTCAAGCGTGACGCTTCATCCCAGGATACTCCCGCTCAGGGCTCTGTGAAGAAGGTGACGGCCATTCCGCCGCCGACTGTCCCCAAGCCCGGTTTCTCCTTTTCCAGTCTCCCCGCTGCCTCCAGCCCAGCCCCCGAGACCTCGACGCCGAAGCCGAAGTCGAAGAGCTCCAAGAAGTCCAAGGCCGATGAACCTGCTTCTACCCGCAAGGAGACACCTATTCTTCCACCCAGTGTTCGTCGCGAATCCGCGGTCCCAATTCCGCAGATCCCCTCCAAGTCATCTCCCGCAGCCGAGGAGACGCCCAAGAAGGAGAAGCGCAAGAAGAGAAAGTCGGAGAAGACAGACGAGCCCAAGTCAAGCAAGAAGGAAACGCCCGTCCCGGTGCCTGGCGCCTAGAAGTCCGCCAGTTTCGGAAAGAAGCCGTTCCGTCAACCCTTTCGACATGGCTTCAAGTAGCCTAGCTGCCGACATCAACGATGCTCGCGCAGCATATCAAAGTTGCCCATAAAACCTGTCAGAGTATATACACCGGTTGCAAAGCCGTGCGATTTGGCTTTGCCGACCATATTGGCGAGCGAGCCTACTTGTGGAAGCTCGCAGATACCAACTTGGCCCACTTTCTTTTTCTTTCTTGCATGCATTGTACCGGATGGAAAAGTACACACTGAGTTTTGAAGACGTAGTCTACGGTCTTAATCGCTCATACCCCCTTCGCCACGGGCTTTGTCTAACTCTCGCTCGACTTGCAATGACGAGGTCTCTGCACCTCTAGAGAGCCGCTCTTGCAAGCCAGACTGTAAGGGATGGACGAGGCCCAAGTGTTGGAAAGGGGTTAGGCTATCATTGGCTTTGTTTTTGTTCGTTTCAGGCGTTGGATGGATCGATACCTAATGTATGTCCCTCGTTTGCGAGGGTTTCATGCGGGTCACAGACGCGGAGGATGATAGAGAGTCTGGCTCTTGGCCTGCTAGCTAGCTAGTCGCAATGATGACGAATGATCAACACTTCTTCAGTGTGCCGTAACGTGACCTGCCTGAGTCCATCATATATGGCATGTTGAATTTCTTTACGCTCTAAGCACGAGTAATATCGAACGCCTCTCTCGCTTCGAAGCCGCGGCAAAACCGAGTTAACACAGTGTCTTGTTGCCATTCTTGTCCCAATCACAGTACGATATCCATACTTGAACTGCCGCCAACAATGTCGCCAGCGTCCCCGAAACGGCAGCTACCACGAGCGCGGCGATGGCGCACTTGTACGTGTGCCGGTGGGACTTCCTACGCTCTGCGTATCTCTCCCACCGAGTGGTCGGGGTCGGATCATCGACTTCTTCCAGCAGACGGGCCAATTGGGGGGCCCAGTATGGGAAATCCTCGTAGAGATCGTGCAAAGTTCGCGGTGTGCCCTTCTTGGAGAGGCCGGTGGAGGCTTTCAACAGACTTGCGTCCAAATGATCACGCTTAATCCAGTCTTGTAGGCCTCTTCTAGATCTGGCGCTCCCAATCAGCGGAAAGAGAAGATCGTACGTCCGAAGTGTCTCTTCTATGAGCTTTGGCGGCAGACAACCTCTGATACACGCTTTAGCCAGACAACCTTCAATTGTGCTCGTTTGAGAACTTACAGTGATAATGCTTCCTCAGTAGTATGGCTGAGATCCGGGCGACTTGCTTTCAGCGTCTCTCGACTACATTCGAGGAATGCTTTGTGAGAGAAGACGTAGAGTATCTTGGTCCTAGAGCCGCAATTGAGATACAGGTGATCCGACAATTTCTCGGTCTGCTGGATCTTTATACCAGCGTCCTTAGTCAGGATGTAGCATCTGAGCTTTGTGTGGTCGATGGGATCTTTAGGTACGTCTGTTGGAGTAGACTGAGTGTACACCCGTCCCAAGTAATCCACCAATGTCTCACTGTTGTCCCAACGGTAGATGTTGCCGCTTCCCATGGCTACAGTACCCTCGGATTCGCATTCCGTCATAAGCATCATGCGAAGCGCGGACTCGACCGATGCAACACTGCTCATCTCAGCGGACTCTTGGTTCAACAACAGATCCTTACGTATCAAGGGGCTTGATTTGAGTAGTCGTATGGCGCCTTCTACGTCTTTCGTATGACCCACGATGCTTGGCTGGTCGAAACAGGGTGGTGGTCGCTGTTCTGCGCAATAGGTGAAGAACCTCGCCAGTCGTCGGTCTCGGTCAGAGGCAACCTGATCTGATTCGCATGGTCCCCATATGGAGTCCGCGATAGTTCTATCATCGAGCCGACTTTCACGTTCGCCCATTGTGAAACAAAACTTATCCCTGGCAATTACTTGGCTTTGTGACTTCAAAGCGATGAAATAAAGGATGAGAAAGAGATCACTCAGGACATTCGCCTATCAAACAATATATCGATGGAAAATCGCAGATCAGGCTGCGTATTTGGGGACCGTCACCAATCCTCTAATCCTTCACCGTGCCACATGACTGCATTGCCAAAAATACAGACAGACCAATAGTGTTCATTCAGCCTGGCACACGCAACGGTCCAACAAATACGTCGCTCTGCTCTCTTAAGACTCTTTCAGACCCCCGCCTCCACCTTTCGATTCTCGGGTCTCTATCCACTCGAGTGTCTTTCTCATCAATGACTTCAAAGGCTACTGAAGGCATCACAACTTCCGATACTTTCTCAACTCAGGCAGCTATGAGTAAGGGCTGCGTAGAGCCAGATTCTTCCGATGTAAGCCTCGCTCGCATTATCTATGCGTTCACTTGGTTGCTAGTACATATAGGCTTAGTGCGAATGATCGCGAATGCCTCAACTCATCAACCCGCCCCTCAAATCCATTCGGGAGAGTCTGTCTCGACACAGCCTACTTCTACGGGGTCTATATCAACAGAGTCCACCTCGACAGAGTCGACTTCGATAGGGCCTGCCTCTACGGAGTCTGCTCCGATCGAGTCTACCTCGATAGAGTCTACTCCGACCGAGTCTGATTCGATAGAGTCTACTCCGATAGGGCCTACCTCTACGGAGTCTGCCCCGACCGAGTTTATTTCGACAGAGTCTACTCCGATAGGGTTTACCTCTACGGAGTCTACTCCGATCGAGTCTACCTCGATAGAGTCTACTCCGACCGAGTCTACCTCGACAGAGTCTACTCCAACAGAGTCTACTCCGACAGAGTCTACTCCGACAGAATCTACCTCGACAGAGTCTGCCTCGACAGAACTCGTGCAATCAAAAACTTGTCAATCAACAGCGACAGCAATCAGGTCACCATCAGAGCCAACATCGACACCGAAAGCGAATGTACCGCCGAGACCCCAAAGAGTCATCATTCGCCCAGATAATGTTTTGAAAACGATTGACCTAGATGCTGACCCCTACGCTGCATTCACATCAACAGAAAAAGAGACCTTAGAGAGTTTCGAGGAAAACTTGAGAGACAAAAGACTCGAGATCTCCTGCAAGCTCGGATTCCGTTTACCGATTTTTCATGCTAGCCTTGTCTCCGTGACTTTTAAAAGAACATTAGGTCAGGTAGTAATGGGTGGATCAGACGCGACAGGGAGAACCGAGACCCTCATTCGAATCACGGGGTTGAGAGATCGGAGGCAGATGAGCTCCTTTCACGATGTCTTAACGATGAAGAAGTATCGAAGTCTCTACGAGCCGCTGAATCTCTGCTACCACAAGGATCGAGTTCTTCGCATGGCGCTTGAAGCTTCATGTGCGATCCGCGATCCGGCACAGACCTTGACGCTCTGCGGCTGTACAATTATCATTCAAACACCTGGTCAGGACCCGCGGACGTCAACGCTCGGCGGCCTTCTTACGGTCAGAGGCAAGTTCTACGCCCTCACGACAAGTCACATGCCTGATGACGATGATGGGTTCTCTGAGGATGCATCCGACTATGAGAGCGATGATGACATTGGCTCCCTCTTCTTCTTCGATAAGAATGACGATTTGGAAGATGAAAGATCGAATTCAGTTACTCCTTTTGAATTCGACGATGGCACTGGCAAGAAAGATAAAACCGCGGTTCAACTTCCAAAGACCGCGTCGTTAGATGTGGATATTGGCAAAAGCGAGGCAACAACTAGAGAAGAAAGTGTGCCAAGGCTCTCGCCAGAAGGAAAAGAGTCCCGCACAGCTGGACTCGGGGCGTCTCCGATGAAGTCAGGGGTAGCAGCTACGACTCATATCATAACCAAAAGCTCGTCTCAGAAGAAGGGCTTCTTAAACCTAATCGAAGGAGACAACCTGAAAAGCGGAGACGATTGGCTCCTCGTGCCCGTCGGAACCAACTTTCTCTTCCCAAACAGATTACCGGCAGGCGTACAGAAACCAGCAACATGGCAGAACCATTTCATCGAAAGCTTCTGCCCTGATTTGGGTAAACTATTCGTTGACGAGAACGACCCGAACAAGCCGCCCTCTCAAAGGACGGTTTGGGCAATTGCTGGAATGGGCGGTCTGATACGCAGCAGCCTCTGCCCGAACCCGTCGTTCATTCTTTCCAACGGCTGCGAGAAAAGTTCAAAAGTTTGGATGGTCGAAGCAGAGGCCCCTAGTCAAGGTAAGTGCCATAGGCCTCTATCGTTTCTAAACCATCTCGAGGCTATCAGTGTGCTGACTTCAGACCTTAAGGCTTCCAAGCAGGAGATTCTGGCTCCTGGATCGTCGATGATAAAACGAGACGCGTACTGGGCATTTTGGTGGCTCGGGTCGGTGGTGTCGGCTACATGACCTCCTTTGCCAGCGTCCGACAGGATATCATCTCCACGCTTCGCATCAAGCAGAAATCGATACAACTGGCTTCCAGAATGGACCCCTTGATACGCGGTCGTGGTGGTGGGCAGGTGCTGCTATCCGACTCCCAGTTTAGGCCACAATTAAGACAAGCCTCACCTGGACAGGTGTTAATAGAACAGGCGTTAGTGGAACAGGCGCCGGACATGCGATCTTGGGGCCAATGGCTCTCTGATGGCACAGCAGCGACTCTGGACATCGTAAGACACCCGATCGACCTCGGCTTTAGCAAAGCATGGGCCGTATTGTTTACTGCGATTGTTTACGTGATAGCTCTCTCGATTATACAAGGTCCATGGGAATCCTGGAACTCCCTGCAGCTGGCACTTGCTCTGCCGGGCTGCGTTCTGTTGTTTTGGGTATCCTCAGAGCTACGCAGTGGTCAAGAGCCACAGAACCGCCCTTCACAGGACGTCTTAGTCTGGCGAAGAAGGGCTTTCTGCACGTGGCTTTGGATCTCGCTTGGGGCAGGAATCCTGGTCGGCTGTGGAAATCAGATCCTGCGACCCACGATACCAGAGGATACAAGATCTGAGGACGAGAAGACAAGGGATTGGAACAAGGGATTGGAGTATCTGAAGGATTTTATGGACTATCTTTCAGCCTCGTTAAGTACTTTCAGAAATGACCTGGAGGACTTGCAGAGGGCATTGCAGGATGGAGATGTCCGAGCCATCTTAGCCAAACTGAGGGAGATGTTTTCAAGGAGACTGCCCAGGGTCAAAAGGTCTAACAAAGTGATATAGAGGACGATTTGAGTTCTCCAACGGTGATTCTGAGTGAAGATAGAGCAACAGAAGTCACGTCTACAATATCTGGACCTTCGGAGTAACGTATGGAAAGCACATTTTATGACATAAATGTCAACTTGTTGTATGTGTTAGCACATCTTTGTATGACCCTAACTGCGTGAAACCGAGGCAAAAAGAATGACTCTCATTGTTTTTCTTCATGCCAATGGTTCTCTACATGCGAGCCTAGGAAGGGGTGGGTGTGGATTCAGGATTGGCATTCTTCCATTACCATATCACAGCGTTAAGCAGCCTGGAAGCCACGAAAGGCCTCGAATAGATCGGGTCCATCGATCAGATCATTAATCAGGATACTATTTAAGAGTAACTTCAGACATGTATCGCTTAATGTCGGCTATATCCGCACGCCTTAGTCCACCAAGGACTAGCCGCGACAGACAACCTACTAGACGGACGGAGAGAGACTGGCTGCAGCTTCATCAACGAGCATTGTTTGCCATTGAGCTGATACCAAAAAGATCGTACTTGAACGTCCTGGGCTCTCTGCGCGACTTCCGATGCCTCCCGGTGTTACTTAACTCCTTTTGCTATAGATTTGCCGGAATTCCACACACCACCTTTCGTGCCAGTCATCCTGACAGCCCGTTGGTTTCCCGCGTCCCAAGCAACAATTTTTCGAAATTCGTATACACATGCTCCATCCGCTATCAGCGGTCATGTGACGGAAGGGGTGACGAAATTCGAAAAAGAAAACCGAAATTGACAGAAACGAGGAACCAGGAAACCCAAAAACCCCATGCCAAGAACCCTTGCTCGGCGAAGTGGACCCCCCGGCCATCCACCCCCGGCCCCTCGGACCCTAGAAAATCAGCGCAGCACAAATCCAACCAGGAAACTTCTCACAACCAGAACCAGGGAAAAAAGCCACCCAAGCAAAACCAAGCAAAACCCGCAATTGAGAGCGGGGGTAAAATTCGCAGGCTGAACTTTGCCGGACCCGATCGCTCGGGTCTTGGCTCTAGCGTCACCTTGCTCCATTCCCGTCTTGCCCGTTTCGCCGTTCCCTCCCCTCAAGCCTCCAAGCCTCCGTGCCTCCGTACCCTTCCTTCCTGCTTCTTTCCCCCTCTTCCCCCACCTTTGTCAAGCTCGCGCGTCTATGCCCGCCATCTGCGGCCGTCTGCGCCATCGCGACGCCACAGAACTCTACAAAGCACCATAAATCCTTGCCGTGTGTGCCGTGGTGGTGCCGTAGCTCCCAAGCCCGGCCGTGGGCCGCGCAACCTACTTGGCCGGCCGAGCCGGGGTCGGGTCAGCTGGGCATGCGAGGGTCGAAATTGAGAGTCCACGGAAAGGGAAAGGATGATATGCGACCACTCCATGTCGGAATGCGGGCGGTTACTCTCAGCTTGCCATCCTTTGGCGTGAACTCAATCCGAATTGAACTGCAGCAGAGTGCAAAATGCGAAACATCACGGGCGAAAGTGAACAATTATATCGAGAGAATAGGTTAATCTCGTCATTCTTTCTTCCCTCATCTACTACTTCAGTAGCGACTGCTCTACCTCTACTCGTGGTATACTCTTCCCCTTCGTGCCTCCACATTACATAGGGCCCGCCTTCCTGCTGGTCGGGCGCCAGAGATCAACCTCCATCCCATCCTGGCTAGATGCCAGACGATATAGAGATTGATCTCGACATTGAACACATTAATATGTACGGGGGGACTCTATATCATCTCATGTCCCCCATCTCTTCCGTTGCTGCCCCTTCCCCGACTCCGTGGGTCTTTCTTCTGCTGCTGTGGTCATCCATGAGGCCGTTACTCCTAAGCCTGTCGAGATCGTTGTGTCTCCGGCTGTTTCTGTCGTTTGCAAAATAAACCACTGTTGCGCCGTTGCTGTGCTTCTGATGCAAATGGTACAGGTAATCCAAAGTGGTATCCGTTTTGAGTGAAAAAAAAGTGCTGATGAGAATCGAATAAAGAGGTATTGGTTAAGGGGGGTGTTTGGGTTCATGGTTTCGAAGAATCGTCCGAGGGTTCCCAGTGCACGCTGCAGGGTTGATCGAGCGTCGCCGCCTTTCGGATTCGCGGCACTACGTGCTTTGTTCATCGTGTTTCTGGATAGGTCTGCGCGTGTGACGAAAGGTGTTTACTGCACAGCCACCTCTGTGAGCTGGGGAATTTCGTATCTGTCGTTGTCGGGTCTGATCTCGATACTGAAAATGCTGCGACCGGATTCTTCGGAAAGGGCGGGACTCAAACTTCCGCTACCCCGGCTGGATGTACTATAGCTGGAGCTGCTACCAACTGTCCACTCATCGCTGTCGGAGCTGCCTCGGCGCTGAAGGTATCCCATGTTATACATCCGTCCGTACTCCTCGTCGAAAACCTTGGTCTGCTCGCCAATCTCAACGTAGTCGTACTCCCAGCGAGTCTTCTTGTCAGCCTGCTGCTGAGGAAGGTATCGGGCTTTGGCGAAGTAGAAAATTCCAGCCGAGAGCAAAGAGCCGCCAACCAGATCGACCGCGTAGTGGTGGTTGAGGTACATGGTTGCCCACCAGATCCATCCAACGTAAATGACGAACAGAGGGCGGAAGCGGGGGAAGCAGTAGCTCAGAATGAGAGCCTCCATGACGGCGTCCGCAGCGTGCAGCGACGGGAAAGCGCCAAAAGGAACTGGAGCGGTCGAGAAGCTGGTGGTGTACATATCGATGCCGAGGATAGCGTCAATGCGGGCCAGGCCAGCGGGGGATCCGGACATGCCGTACGCAGCTGGGGCGAGGCCATGCTCGTTCTCGTACCACGGAGGAGTGCAGGGGAAGACGAGCTGGATGGTGACGCCGAGAACGTTTAGCCATCCGAAGCACTTGGCGAAAATCGGAAGCGTCTTGGGAGCGGCAAAGAGGAAGAGGAAGCCAGCGCAGATAAAGGGAGCGCCAAAGTGGCCAAGTCCGTACGGGATCCAGGCGAGAATGTCGAGAACCGGATGAGTGTGAGCGGACAAAATGTTGGATAGGTTGGCACCGTAGAGGACGTTCTCGAGGGCGGGGAGGACGCGAACCCAGATGTGGGGGCGGTATTTCGCATCAATGAAGCTGATCTTGAATTAGCATTCGAGCCAGGCGACTAACACCACAAGCAAGTCGACTTACCGGCTACAAAAGAAATAGATGAGGTATGCCCATATACTCAATCCTGGGAAGAAGAACTGGCTGGTGACGGGTATCGTCAAAAGCAAGAGACCCCCAGTGACGGCGAGGGTCTTGATTAGTGGCGCTGAGGGCGTAATGCAGAGCGAGAAGATGATGAGGGCGATGAGGATCGTGTACTGCAGGTCGAGCAGGCGCCACTTGTGATTTTGCAGTTTCCGTAATGTGTCGAGAGGGTTGAGAGACTTTTGCAGTGAAGTGACATCTTCGGCACCAGCGTAGTTTCCAGATGCGCGCTTCTTCTGATTTCTCTTTGCTCGGCTGGGTCGGTATCGGTGGGGGATGGGGTTGAGCTTGGCGAAGTTGAGGTTACCGGTCCATAGAGATGGCAGCGTGGGCTTTCCTTTTAGGAAAGTGCTGAAGTCCTGCATGGCTACTGATGCCCTCGGAGGGGAAGGAAGTCGAGAATCGCGACGCAATGCGATGGGCGAAGTTGGAAGGTGTAATAGGTGACGGTAAAGAGGACCAAAGGGCGAGTTGGTCTTCTACCGGGGATGCGTCGACTTTCCGTTTCTGACTAAAACCGAACCATCCAGCAGGCGTTGTGTGTGTTGTCTTGGAATCTGTCTTGCTCGCTGACCCAGCTACGTCACGTCGCAGTGAACCGTCCTGTTGGAATCCCTAAAATTCCTAATTCCACTAATGCTTCGAGTATCGGCGAGCTGGTTGGTCGTCACCGGAGGAGAGGGAGGAAATAGGTGAATAATCAACGAGCAACCAAAGGATGTTGGAGGGAGCAGGTATTTTGGAGAGGGAGGGGAGGAGGTCAAAAGGGAATGGGACAGGCGACAAAGTTACGGAAAGTGTGGATGACTAGATTGATATGTATGATGAGGCAGCGGAACAGGCGGGCAAAGCGGCAGGGCAAGGCAAAGTAGGTTAAGGTAAGGCAGAGACGGGATAGAGTGAGAACGGAGACAAGACAAGAGACAAGGTCCACGGTCCCAAGAGTTTTGCAGATGGAGGCCGAGCTTTGGGACAAAGTCGCTCTGGACCTTTGGACTCTTGGAAATCCATCTTTGAACGAAAAGTGTGTGGAGTGACAAGTACCAAGGACACCCAAGACACAGCGGAAAGGTACCAAGACTGCCCAAGCCGGCCTACGGAAGCGGCGGGGACCGGGGTGCTTGTCAGAAGCCGAGAGATTTTTGGGTGCAGCGACTGCGAGGAAGGTGAGCCTTGGGGCTTGGGCAAGCAGAACCTGGTGGGTGTGGGTGGTCGACGTTCTGTGGTGTGTGGAGTGTGGGCGACCTTAGTTTGCTCTCCGTCTCTTCTCGCAGAGGACAGTGAGAACCGGAGCGAGGTACCAGGGGGAGGAAGTGGAGGGACCGTACGAGTACCGTAGGTACCTAGACTGCCTTGCGACAAGGTATACGGTACGCGGACTTTGTCTCTTGGGTGGGCTGGCCGACGGGTTTGTAAGGTACCTTACCTGATCGTGGGTACGGAGTACGGAGGACCTTTGACCACCTTTCCTTCCTTGTGGGCGCGAGTCTCCCGTCCCTACACAGCTGACCGAGACCAGGGGAGGGGGGAACTGTCGGGCGGTATGTGGTCCGTTTTGGTGCGTGGGACGCTGGGACTGGGCCAAGTGAAAAGTCCGAATCGAAAGAAAATGGAGCTATGATGCTCTGCTGCAGTACCTATTGCTTCATCCAGGTCAACCCTGGAGTCCCTTAGCATGCCTTTCTTGGCAAACACCAGTCTGAGTACCGAGTACTCCCGTCATCCCGCCCGTCCTCTCTCCGTTTGTCCTTCGGCCACCGCCGACTGCGTCTTCCACTACATCTCTTACTGCAGGTATATTCGTGCTTGTATTGTTCTCCGTACCGCGGTACCAGCCCGATTGCGTCTAAATTTGCAGAATACCGCCCAGGTTTTGCTTCCTCCTTTCGCTTTGCCATATTAATACTCCATACGCGGGATTCAAAGAATGGGCGCAGCATGGCAAGGCAGATGCCAAGGGGACGATGCTCTGCCGTCTTTCCATCATCCTGCCCTCGGAAATGATAACCATGGACTGGTTGGTCACAAGTGTTGCTGTCATGATTTGCTATCGAAAAGCTGGTAAGCTTCGGCGCCGTCTCTGCGAGGTCTCATGTCGATCTTTCCGGGGTGGATGAAAAGACGGTGCTTGTGCTTTGCTGTCTCTGTCTGCATCTGTGATGACTGACCGACTGACTGCTCGATGACTGACACACGCTGGGCAGGTGCCGTAGCAATGGAAGTACACGTACTTGCGTATTTTGCGTATTCACCCATGCCGGTACGGAGTAGTGGATTCTATTGTTGCTTGCCCATTGGGGGCCATCGCCAACCTGAGCGGCAGAGTGGGAAAACAGAGTCACACGCAGCGCAGTGAGCGCACAAGACACAGAATCAGAGAGAGAAAATGAGAGAGGAAGCTCGGATGCTGCGGCTCGGGTAAAGGTACTTGTACCGATTTGGCGGGGCATGTCTGCGGTACATAGAGAGGAACTCCCCAATGGCTTCTAAGTTCTGCCCTTTTCTTTGGTGAAAATACTGGAAAATATGGAGCGAAAAGGCGCACGGGCTTATCTTGCAAGAAACGAGTGCAGGGATTGGGCGATGCGCACCTCACCTCCCTGCAGTTGATCGGGCAGGAGGCTGCTTTGAACGGTACGTATCTTCAAGTACTCCTACCTTACTACCGTCGTGCCCCATTCCTTCCCAAGTCCGCTGGCGCTGCTTGTGACGCGGGCGGGAAGGAGCATCTCTGGCTTTGTGGGCGGGCGGGCTTGCCTTACGTGATGATGCGCTATTACCAGTCGGTAAGGTCAAGATTTCTGGGTGACACCGGGATGATCCAATTTTTTTGCTTCGATTTTTTCATTAGTCTGCCTATTGTTTTTTTTTCCTTTCTCCGCCCTCGCCTTCGCATTCTCTTGTGGATTACAGATCACAATTCCGAGGTCAGAAACACAGCAAAGGTCGTTCCCACGCATTCATCTACGGAACATCTCCGTGGTGGATCGGGAATTAGTGAGCTGATCTAGAAGCTGTGGTCTGTTCATGTTTTCTTCTATTTACCTAGCGGCAATCTTATTCGCGAAGGCTCTGCTGTGCTGATGAAACCTTTTTCTTGTTCGCGAAGACCTTATTGCTGACTATCTCAATAGGACAACGACAAGGAAATGGGTTCGTCTATTCAATCGCGGACGGCTTCATCTCGAGTCCATCCTAAGGCCCGCAAAGTCCACCCCCGGTCCCCGTCAGGGTCGGCGCGCGACAGACTTTGCAGTACCTAAATTACTCTCTCCCACTTGGCGGCGTTACCTGCACCCGAGCAAAAGTCGCAGAAAGACAAGACGTGTCGCGTGCTGATGATGACCCGGGCGACAGGGCTGATGATTCCCGGTACGGAGCATACTTGTCACTACGAACCAACCCGTCCCAATAATCTTGTTTGACGGTTTGACCCGTGCTTCCCACCGCTCAACCCGGGGACCGGGGCTTTTACCAGTAGCCCAGCACAACGTGTCGCACATCCAACAGGAAGAAGCAACGGAATGGCACTTTGACATATACGTCTTCGGTCTTCTTTGGCCTGGCCGCTGTCCGCCCCTGAAAATAAAATCATCTCGGTGAAACAAACAACTGCTGCTCACCCGATTTTGAGATTATCATCATTGCATCGTCTGCAAGTACCGAGCCGAGGCTCCCTTCGTCGCAGGCTCGCAGCGAGGTTTGCCATGCAGATTATCCGTACTGTGTGCCTAGGCCAACCAAGAAATAGCGAGGCTGGGACTTCCCACATACAAAGTACGGAGCCCACGCTGGTACAGCACAGTTCGGGAATTGCATGTCGACGACGTAAATCTCGGTTTCGGAGGCCCATCGGCGTGCGGTAGCTGCAACCGCCGACATTCAGGGCCATTCACGAATCGGCGCACCACCGAGGAATAATCGCGCGGCCGCACTCGTGAAGTTCAGACTTCAGTGGCCCGCGCGGTTCATTGGGCCGAGACGACGGCGCCATCGTGGAGTCATGGGGAGGGGGGCTTGCGACTCTGGGTGAAAGCAACGGACGGTACAATCGGGCTGGTCGCTGGCCCGTCGATGCCGGCCTCGATGTGAATCAGATTGGGTGGCCTGACGAAAGGCGTTAGAAAGCGTCACTGTCAAAATGGGGCTCGCAGTCGGTGGCTTGAAATGGCTTCGAACTTAACCAACACGACTATTCGACCCCTTCCCTGGAAGTCCCTTTTTTTTCAAAATACCATTGCCGGACGCGCTTATCTAATCCATCGGCCGCCGTCGCCGGCACCGAGACTTACCAACTAAAGACGGAACGCGAACGAAGGGTATCCTGCATTCCTTAGCTCTGTAGTTCCAACTTCCGCCCAAAGTCCACCGCCGCAAAAGGGGGAGGGGAAACGAAAAAAGGGACCTCGACCCCTTAGACGCTAGGATGCCAGCATCATCGAGGCTTCATGATAATGGCATCACCCTTGACGTGCCTCATATAAGCGCCAAATGAATGTCATCTCAAGTTTTGCAAGTCGGGAGACGGGGGTTGTAGGGAAAACAGAGAACAGGCCAGATCATGATGATGCAAGATGTCAACGGAGCACCCACGCGAGGCGCCGCATCAAACAAGCGACCTTACCTTTGCCTCTCTTTACCGCCAGTATCGCCTGGCACTACTGCGTAGCACATACGCAATCGCACGCGCAGGCAGGGATGGTAGCGATGCAGTCACGCAGAGCCACTGAACCAGAGCTCAGAGGGAGCCGACCAGGCCCAATACGAAATGATTGGGGGTCGAGGTGACGACGACTCGCTCTCTCTTATTCTTAGCGCGCCCCGGGGCTCAAGGCTCAAGCAAGCGTAGCCAAACGATGCCCGCGTGGCCTCGTCCGCCGCGAGGTTGAATGACCAGGGGAGGAAAAGGACCCAGCGAAACCGAGCGGAAAGCGAATGGAGCACATCTGGGCAAGCTCGAGAATTTCCAGCCTCTGAACAAAGTCGGCCGAGTGAGAGGAAGCTGGAGATGAAAGACTGCAGTGTGTGGTTGGGTGAGCATGGCAGCCATGGCTTTCCCGAGCACTGGGGCATGAGTACTCGGATCGCTCGGTGTCGAAGGGACGAAGTACCTCTCGAAAGTATCGGTACCTCCGTCCTGCCTCGGGCGAGCCTTGGGAAGGTACCGTACTTTTGGTGTCCACTTCTTCTTTGAGCTGTTGACTTCTTTTTTTTTCCTTCCAATTTTCTGAGTCTTCCTTCCTAAGGTATGCCCCCACTTGGCGAACGACGTTCCTGGATGCTCAACCCCACTGTCGTCATGAATCTCTCCTTTGCTTTTCCCTTCCTCTGGTAAATTGCTTACGGAAGAAATCTCAAATTTCCCACATCGCTTAATTCCGGATTCCACTTGTTTCCCGCGCGACCGCTGTCCGCCCACCGACAAGGACGCCGCTGCCCGACGCCTCAGGAGCCTCAGTAGCCCCAGGAGGTCGGGGTCGGTCAAGTTCACTCTTCCGTTTCCCGCTTGCTGATCTCTCTCTACCGTAGAGACCCAGGCCTGGCGATAATTTCTGTACGGATGTCATTTACGCGAGGCGCAGATACGCGGTACGCGGGTAATACAGCGGCAACACCACCACATCCACGAATCCAACTTGAGAGTTGAGACATATGGAAGACCTCTAACGGTCTGTGACACTCCGAATCCTGTCTCTGCCGTAGAGTACGGCGTACGGATAGTGTACAGTCTATTGCAGTCTGTTCCGGCCGACATACTCCGCACACGGACAGTCACGGCCGTCACTGGGATGGGACGATGCTCTACACATGGCTCGATCGGGACTCGAAGGGGGCAGACGCACTGCACAATGCAACCAAGAGGGTTTTCTCACCTTTGCCTACAGCGAAACGCTTCGCGCTCGAGGTCCTGCGGCCATGACAGGAACATCTGCCAATCTAGGCTACATCAAGCAGCACAGGCACACCGAAACCTCCCGGCGGTAACCCCTTCATACCTCGTTAGATTCAGATTGCAACACGCGCGAAGCCCAAAACCGACATCTCGTGATCTCGCATCCTTCTCGCATCACTCCTCGCAAGCCGCAAACCCGCCCCCGAAATATCATCTCTTGGCTGTGACTGGGCCTCCGGGGTGGTCTCCCCCTTCCTACCTGTGCAGGCAGCTGTGTGTATGTACCGACCCCTTGCGCTCTGCCAATCGATGCGAT